TATGTAGCTGTGGTATTGGCGCTAATCAAAGGCATCCTCAGTGATATCTATTACATGCTGACGCAGTAGGTGCGAGCTTAAACGTGGAACTTCCCTGACATCATGCACCTAGACAAGAAAGTCGCTGTCAGCAGCCTGGTTTAGGCGCTTGACCTCGTCAGCAGCCTGGTTTCGGCGCTTGATCATACCATGGAAAATAATACGTGTAGCTGTGGTATCGGTGCTAATCATAGACATCCTCGGTGATATCTATTACATGCTGACGCAGTAGGTGTGAGTTTAAACGCGGAACTTCCCTGACATCATGCACCTAGACAAGAAAGTCGCTGTCAGCAGCCAGGTTTAGGTGCTTGACCCCATGACTCATGCCATGGATGCGCGCAGCTGCGCTAATCATTTGTATATCTCCCGGTGATATCTATTACATGCATGTGTCGCGGATTGCCTCGCGCCGCGGACCTCCCCGCGCCGCGGATCGCGTAGCGTCGCGGTCCTCCCCCGCCCCGCGCGAATCGCCGCAGAATATCTCCTTCCCCGCGCCCCGCGGATCGCCAAGCGTCGTGGAATAATAAACGTGGAACACCTCGACATCGTTCACCTTGATAAGAAAGTCATCAGCCAGGTTTCGGCGCTTGATCCCGTGACTCATACCCACCCAGGTGTTCGATGACAGGTCAGCACCTAGATATCTGTTACATGTCACGTAGTGACAGGTCAGCACCTTGCGTGACGTCAAGGTTGCGTACTCCCCCTCCTCCCCGCGGTCCCCTCGCCACGGAGTACCCCCCTCCCCGCTGTCCCCTCGCCGCGGGGTACCCCCCGCCCCGCTCCCCCCTCGGAGCCCCATGGGTTAGAACCGGCCTATATACCCTACTAACGGGTTTCTTTTTGAAAAAAATTTGAATTTTTTAAGAAACGTCTGTGGTTGCTCTAACTTTTGCAAATTTTGAGATATCGGGCTAATTCTAATTCTATTATTCTTTCCATTCTTTTCTACCCCTATTTCATATATAATTTATTAATATTCGGTTGATTAGTTCTTGAGTTATAAATGTTTGAAATTTCGGAATCCGTACATGAACACTTTTTCATTATACTGAGTGTTTCAAAAGTGATGCTACAAAATGTAATGGTGAAATGTATACATTAGTATAAGCAAAAAGTCCTAATATTAATTTGTTTTTAGAAACGTCTCTGGTTGGTGTAACTATCGCAAATTTTCTTTAATAATGATTTCCAAAAATTTCAAATGTCTTTAACTCAAGAACTAATTAATCATATTTTAATGAATTATATATGAAATTTGGATTGAAAAAACTGAAGAACAATATAATATATAATTAGAAAAAAGTAAAGTAAAGTAAAGTAAAAT